AACATGGAATGCGAATCCCATAGGAAGGGGGCTCCCGCCTGAGACCTTCTCGCAACGCACTCACATACAAGGCCCCCGTTCGAGACATCCTCAAGATTTGCATCCTTGGGGTGCACAAATTATGATGCTCATGATGATAATGATGATGATGATGACGACGACGACGACGACGACGACGACGACGACGACGACCACGACGACGACGACGACGACGACGACGACGACGATAAGTATTATCACTATTGTTATTATTGTGATCGTGGTGAGCGTGAGAGGCGATGATGCAAGGTCGTGATAAGAGTGAGAGATGATGATCAAAGGATGGTGCGGGTGCGAGGACTGCGAGGGTGTACAGGGAAACAAGAACACCACTGAGGATATGGGGATTATATCAAAAGGGACTGCTACATCGCGGTGAGCATTGTATGACCCCAAAAAATCAGGGGGGCATAAACAGGCAAACCGCGTGAGACATCCTCAAAATCTGCTCTGAAAGCAAAGGACGTTCGGCATCCAAACAAACAAATCGCCTGACTCCCCACAGCTTGGGCGCGAACGGAGGAATGAGATACCCCATGGCGGCTCCCCCTTGAAGTGGTGAAGCCAGCGCCTCGCCTGAGACATCCTCAAAATCTGTTCTTAAAGCAAATATGTTCGGCACCCAAACAAACGAATCGCCTGAGACATCCCCACAATCTGGGCGCGAACGGAGGAGGGAGATACCCCCACCTAGTGGATCTCCCTGGGAGTGCTGAAACTAGCGCCTCGCCAGAAACATCCTCACAGTCTGCCTGCGTGAATGAGCATGAGCATGCGCGAGTCTGAATCAAGAACTGATGTGACTGAGTCTGCATGAAGGTAAGAGTCAGTCTGAGCATGACTGAGTCTGAGGGAGGAAGTGAGGTGACTGAGTCAGAGTATGAATGACTCTGAGTGCGGGTCGATCTGGGCATCAGCAAATCTGAGTACGAGCGAGTCTGAGTATATGATTGAGTGAGTGCGAGCGCGAGTGTGAGCAGAGAAAGATGAGGAGGGAGGCTGGGAAGGAGGAGGATGGACCTGGCAGCGCCGACGCGGACGGAGTAGAAACAAAAACTCCATCTCGGGAAGAGGGGGCAAAGTGCCGATGCCGCTGCTCCCCAGAGGTCCGATGTCGTGATTTGTTCACAACGGGATCCCCGGAAGTCTCCACCCATTCTCCAGGACCGGCGTTTCATCCTGAGTCGTGTTTTGACGGTCCCAGGGCCCGGCGAGGGCCGCCAGAGGCCGAAAATTTAGAAAAACCTCCGCCTGGATTTTTTCGATACGCTGGATCTCTGGCAACCCGGGCCTCTCCCGGGGCGCGCTCCGACCACGACTCCGGGGCGCACCTCCGGCGGCGGCGACGACGGCCTCCCCGAAAGCCCGACAGGGCGCCGGCGAGGTGCTGGCACCGGAGTGGAGGAGGAGGAGGAGGAGGAGGAGGAGGAGGACTAGGAGGAGGACAAGGAGGAGGAGGAGGAGGAGAGAACGGGGGATTGTGGAGCCCCTCGGGGTCGAAGGCGCCAAAGCGAGGCTTTCACACTGAGTTCGCGCGTCTATTTCAATGAGATATGCGTGCTCTGTGGCGGCCTCCTCTCTCCTCCTCCTCCTCCTCCTCCTCCTCCTCCTCCTCCTCCTCCAAAAGGAACAATACCATTTTCGTTGTTTGGCCCCCTCCCCCCCCCCCCCCAGGAAAAAAAAAACAAAAAAAAAACTGGGCGGATCCGCCGTTTTTTTTTTTTTTTTGTTTTCTCTTTTTTTTTTTCGGGGGGGGGGGGGGGGGAATGAAAATCCTCTCCTCCCTCCTCCTCCTCCTCCTCATCCTTCTCCTCGTCCTCCTCCTCCTCCTCCTCCTGCCTCCCATGCGACGTGGCCACATCTGCCCTTCCCCCTAGAAGGATTCCTATTGAACGCCCCCATAAGAAGGATTCACAGTGAAATCCTCGACAGAAGGGTTCCTATCGAAACCCTCCACTGAATGATTCCTACTGAAATCCTCCACATGTGGATTCCTACTGAAACCCTCCACTGAATGATTCCTACTGGAATCCTCGAATGGCAATGGCAATGGCAATGGCAATTGTAATGGTAATGGTAATGGTAATGACAGTGGAAATGGTAATGGTACTGGTAATGGTTACGGTACTGATAGTGGTAACGGGGTAGCGAGGCAATGACAATGGCAATGGCAACGGTAATGGTAATGGTAATGGCAATGACAATGGCAATGGGAATGGCAATAACAATGGCAATGGCAATGGCAATGGTAATGGCCATGGCAATGGTAATGGTAAGGGTAAAGGTAAAGGTAGAGGTAAAGGTAATGGTAATGGTAATGGTAATGGCAATGGCAGTGGTAATGATAATGGTAATGGTAATGGGAATGGGAGTGGGAATGGGAACGGCAACGGGAATGGAAATGATAGTGGTAGTGGTAATGGTAATGGCACTGGTAATGGCACTGGTAATGGGAATGGGAATCGTAATGGTATTGGGAATGGGAATGGGAATGAGGATGGGCATTCTAATGGTAATGGCAGCGGTAATGGGAATGGGAATGGGAATGGGAATGGAAATGGTATTGGCAATGGTAATGGTAGTGGCGAATGGCAATGGCAATGGCAATGGCAATGGTAATGGTAATGGTAATGGTAATGGTAATGGTAATGGTGATGACAGAGGTAATGGTATTGGTACTGGTAATGGTAATGGTAACGGTAATGGTAACGGTAACGGGGTAGCGATTGGCAATGGCAATGACAATGACAATGGCAACAGTAATGGTAATGACAATGACAATTGGATTAGCAATGGCAATGGCAATGACAATGATAATGGCAATTGCAACGGCAATGGTAAGTGTAATGGTAATGGCAATGGTAGTGGGAATGGGAACAAGAATGGGAATGTGAATGGGAATGGGAATGGGAACGGGAACGGGAATGGAAATGGTAGTGGTAGTGTAACGGAAATGGGAAAGGTAAGGGTAAGGGTAAAGGTAATGGTAATGGTAATGGAAATGATAATGGTAATGGCTATGGGAATGGCAATGGCAATGGAAATGGTACTGGCAATGGTAATGGTAGTGGCTAATGGCAATGGCAATTGCAATGCGAATGGTAGTGGTAATGACAGGGGTAATGGTAATGGTACTGGCAATGGTAACGGTAATGATAGTGGTAACGGGGTAGCGATTGACAATGGCAATGGCAATGACAATGGCAACGGCAACGGTAATGGTAACGGCAATGGCAATGGTAATGGCCATGGCAATGGCAATGGCAATGGTAATGGTAATGTGAATGGGAATGGGAATGGGAACGGGAATGGGAATGTGAATGGGAATGTGAATGGGAACGGGAATGGGAATGGCAGTGGTAGTGGTAACGGAAATGGGAATGGTAAGGGTAAGGGTGCAGGTAAAGGTAGAGGTAATGGTAATGGTAATGGCAATGGCAATTGTAATGGTAATGGTAATGGTAATGGTATTGGGAATGGGAAGGTGAATCGGAATGGTAATGGTACTGGCAATGGTAATGGCAGTGGCGAATGGCAACGGCAATTGCAATGGTAATGGTAATGGTAGTGGCGAATGGTAATGGTAATGGGAGTGGCCAATGGCAATGGCAATGGTAATGGTAATGGCAATGACAGAGGTAATGGTAATGGTACTGGGAATGGTAATGGTGACGGTAACGGTAATGGTAATGGCTATGGCAATGGTAACGGGTGGCAATGGCAATGGCAACGGCGATGGCAATGGTAATGGTAATGGTAATGGCAATGGCAATGGCAATGGGAATGGCAACGGCAATGGCAATGGCAATAGCAATGGCCATGGCAATGGTAATGGTAATGGTCATGACCATGGTAATGGGGATGGAAATGGGAATGGAAATCGTAGTGGTAATTGGAACGGGAATGGAAATGGTAGTGGTAGTGGTAGTGATAATGGCAATGGTAATGGTAATGGCACTGGTAATGGCACTGGTAACGGTAATGGCAATGGTGATGGGAATGGGGATTGTAATGGTGATGGCAGCGGTAATGGTAATGGTAATGGTAATGGTAATGGTAATGGTAATGGTAATGGCAATGGTGTTGGTAATGCTAATGGTAATGGTAATGGTAATGGTAGTGTCTAATGGTAATGGGAATGGGAATGGTAATGGTAACGGTAATGGTAACGGGGTGGCGACTGGCAATGGCAATACAATGGCAATGGCAATGGCAATTGTAATGGCAATGGCAATGGCAATGGGAATGGCAATGGCAATGACAATGGCAATTGTAATGGCTATGGTAATGGTAATGATAGTGGTAAAGGTAAAGGTAAAGATAAAGGTAGAGGTAATGGTAATGGTAATGTGAATGGGAATGGGAATGGGGATGGGAATGGTAATGGTAATGGTAATGGTATTGGGAATGGGAATGGGAGTGGGAGTGGGAGAGATTGAGAGAGAGACAGAGAAAGCGAGAGAGGAAATATCATGATAATGATGAGGAGCAACGTGAAAGATTGTAAAAAGTCGTTTGAAACCCACAGGGGCTCCACAATCCCCCGGCCTCGAGGAGGAGGAGGAGGAGGAGGAGGAGGAGGGGGAGGAGGAGGAGGAGGAGGAGGAGGAGGAGGAGGAGGAGGAGGAGGAGGGAGGAGGAGGAGGAGGAGGAGGAGGAGGAGGAGGAGGAGGAAGGAGGAGGAGGAGAGGAGGAGGAGGAGGAGGAGGAGGGGAGGAGGAGGAGGAGGAGGAGGAGGAGGACTAGGAGGAGGAGGAGGAGGACAAGGAGGAGGAGGAGGACTAGGAGGAGGAGGAGGAGGAGGAGGAGGAGGAGGAGGAGGAGGAGGAGGAGGAGGAGGAGGAGAGGAGGAGGAGGGGGAGGAGGGAGGAGGAGGAGGAGGAGGAGGGGGAGGAGGAGAAGGAGGAGGAGGAGGTGAATCTCCTCCAGGCCCCCATGATTTGCTGCTGAACCCTCCGAGCCTCCCCCTCTGGCCCCCAGCACTGCGCCCGCGGCGGCCGCGGCCGCCCGGAGCGGCACGCCCGCGGCGCGAGGGCGGCAGCTCGAGGGCTCTCGCCCGGCGCGGTGCCCCCGGGCCCCATGGCGCGGGGGGCGCTGCGCCGGGCCGCCTCGGCGAGCCTCCCGGCGGCGGGCCGCGCGGGGAGCGCCCCGAGCCGGAGCGGCACGCCTCCCTGGGGAGGGCAGGAGGAGGGGGGAGGAGCGAGGAGGAGAGGGGAGGCCCCAGAGAGCCGAGGACAGGATCTGCTCCGCCCAGGCGCGGTTCCTCGACGTCGGCTTCCAGGGCCCGGTATCGGGCCCGGGCACCGTCAAAAATGGATTCGGGATGAAGAACCACCCCCCGGGGAAGGGGTCGGGGCCACTGGGGCCGCAGATTGAAGACAACACATCGGCGGATGTCTGGGGAGGAGGGAGGAGCGAGGAGAAGAGAGGGGAGGCCGAGGTGATGGTGCTGATGTCTGAAGCTGTGATCTGTCCTCCTCATCTCGGCCTCCCCTCGGGCGGCCGCGGCCGCCTGAGGGGAGGCCGAGATGAGGAGGAAAGAAGGAAGACCGGGAGGAGGCCACCACTGGGATTTCCTGTGATCTCCCTTCGGCGTCGGCGCTGCTGGCCTCTGAAGGCTGGCGGAAGCCACTGGCGCAAGGGCTGCGAACACAGCGGGAGAGCCGACAGTAATCCACTGGAGGCAACAGCTTGTGCCCCAGGGGGCTTGATATGTTCCGCGACCCACAATGATCACCCAGTCGTACTTTTCCTCCCTCCCCCCTCCTCTTGCCCCTCCTACAGTAATTCCTCCTAAACACCACCATCATCATCATCATCATCACCACCACCACCACCACCACCACCACTACCATCGTCATCCGCATCATCAACATCATCAACAGCAATAATGTTAAGACTATTCGCTCTTATCTGATCGAATGTCATTAAACGTGTATTTCCCAAACCATCGATGCCCGACCTCTTCGTCTTCCATCGTGCCCCTTTTAGGAGGGATATCTTTCTTCCCTGCAGGCCGGGCCAGCGGCAATGCTGATCGGCGGCAACCCGACCCCAAGAGGGACGGACACGGGACCGACCTCGACGACGACGACGACGACGACGACGACGACGACGACGACGACGAAGAGCGAAAGCGAGAGCGAGAGCGAGAGCGAGAGCGAGAGCGGGGCCACGAAGGGCAGGAAGGGGGCCACGAAGGGCGACAGCGGGGTCACGAAGGGCATGCGTATGGGGCCACGAAGGGCGCGAACGAGCGGGGGCCACGAAGGGCAGATAATGCGGGGCCACAGAGGGCAACGACGGGTTCACTGAGGGTAGCAACGGGGCCACGTAGGACAGCGAGGGGGCCACAAAGGGCGACAGCGGGGCCACGAAGGGCATGCATTTGGGGCCACGACAGGCGCGAACGAGCGGGGGCCACGAAGGCCATGCGTATATTGGGCCGCCGAGGGCAGCAACGAGGCCACGAAGGGCAGCGAGGGGGCCACGAAGGGCGACAGCGGGGCCACGAAGGGCATGCATTTGGGGCCACGACAGGCGCGAACGAGCGGGGGCCACGAAGGCCATGCGTATATTGGGCCGCCGAGGGCAGCAACGAGGCCACGAAGGGCAGCGAGGGGGCCACGAAGGGCGACAGCGGGGCCACGAAGGGCATGCATTTGGGGCCACGACGGGCGCGAACGAGCGGGGGCCAAGAAGAGTACATATATGAGGCCACGACGGGCAGCGAGGGGGCCACGAAGTGCTGCGACGGGGCCACGAAGGGCAGCAAGGGGGCCACGAGGTGATGAGACGGGGCCACGACGTGCAGCAAGGGGGCCACGGAGGACTGCAACGGGGCCACGAAGGGCAGCGAGGGGGCCACGAAGGGCTGCAACGGGGCCATGAAGGGCAGCGAGGGAGCCACGAAGGGCTGCGACGGGGCCACGAAAGGCAGCAAGGGAGCCACGAAGGGCTGCGACGGGGCCACGAAGGGCAGCGAGGGGGCCACGAAGGGCTGCGACGGGGCCACGAAAAACTGGAACGGGGCCACGAAGGGCAGCGAAGGGGCCACGAAGGGCTGCAACGGGTCCACGAAGGGCAGCGAGGGGGCCACAAACGGCTGCAACGGAAGGGCAGCGAGATCCCGATTCCTAAGTAAGCTGTGAGGGAGTCCTAAGTGGGAGCGCGACTCCTGGACACCTGAGTGTCGGGAGCGCGGCGCTTGAGTAAATCACGGGGAATTCCAACGCAAGAGCGCGATTCCTGAGTAAATTGCAAGCGTGTCTCCAGCGAGAGCGCGACTCTTGAGCGCCGAGGGAGCGATTCCTGAATAAATTGAGATGGAGTCCCAAGCGAAAGCGCGATTCCTAAGTAAATCGCGAGGGAGTCTCAGGCCGGAGCGGGGGTCCTGGCTAAATTGTGCGGAAGTCTCAAGCGGGAGCCGTTGTTGTTGCAATCCGGGGGCCAACAACGCAGTTTGAGCCCCGTGACTTGCCGTGGTGAAAAACAAGGTGCGAGTCCCAGGGGAAGCACTTCAACTGAAAAAACACAATGGTCACTGGAGTGGGGATCAATAATACTTATTCTTCAATAGTGAGAATTCAGAAGCGACACCAATAACATTACTCTGACGGAAAGGCCCCACATGATGATCTCCTTAGTGAGAATCAGAATCACCCTCAGCGACGACCAGCGGTGGTGATGATGCAAGGATGCGAGAATACCTGGATGCGCCGTGTGGGACATTTGAAACCTGTGGGGCCTGTGGGAGCAGTGCTGCCTGTAGGGTTTGTTGCGCCCGAGGGCCCCATAGGAAGTGGGCTTCCACCTGAGACTTCCTCGCAATCTACTCACAGACGAGGCCCCCGCTCGAGACAGCCTCACGATGTGCCTCCCGGGGTGCTCAAATACTACGCCTGCTACCGTAGGCAGGTGATCCGCTCGAATTACTGACATAATCTGCGAGCCCCATGAGGAGGTGGCTCTCGCCTGAGACTTCCTTGCAATTCACTCAAACACGAGGCGCCGCTCGAGACATCCTCACGATTGTCCCCTTGGGGCGCTCAAGTGTTGTGCCTGCTACAGTAGGCCAGCGACCTGCTCGAATTGCTAACATGATCTGCGGGCCCCATGAGGGGGGGCTCCCACCTGGGATTTCCTCGCATTTCACTCAGTCCCAGTAGGTGCGTGGAAAACCACGTCCCAGAAGGTGCGAGTGTATGGCGTGTGAAAGGAGGGCTCTCGCCTGAGACTCCCTCGCAATTCGCTCACAGACCAGCTCCAGCATGGTCTTTCCCACATCTTTAGGCTTCACAAGACCAAACATGGGGACACTTGCAAGTTGTCAGATGGCCCGCTCAGGTTACAAACATATGGCTCACGATTCACTCACATATAAGACTCCCGTCTGACACTGCTCCTTATACTCCTGACTCAGGAGCCCAAAAGCAACGACAATTACAATCGTTCCGATGGCCCGCCCAGATTACTAACTTGATCTGCGGGCCCACTAGGGGTGGGGGGGGGGCTCCCGCCTGAGACTTCCGCGCAACTCACTCACAGACCGGGTTCCCGCTCTGGATTTGCTCCAGGTTCACGGCTGGTGGTCACAAAAGTGACGAAACTCGGCAGACAGGCAAGCGATGATGATGACGACGACGATGATGATGATGCTGATGATGATGATGGTGATGATGTGAATGGTGATGGTGATAATGCCGACAACGACGACGACGACGACGACGATGATGATGATGAGATGATGATGATGATGATGATGATGATGATGATGATGATGATGATGACGATGATGATATTGGAGAGTGTGATCATGATGAGGCTGGTGTTGTTGGCGATGACGACCTTGTGTGAGAGATTGAATAGGTAAGCGCGTCATTGATAGTCACGATGATGGTTACTATGATGATGACGATGATGATGATGGTGATGATAATGATGATGATGATGATGCTGATGGTGATGATGTGGCTGGTGCCGATGGTGACGACGATGGTGATGATGATGATGATGATGATGAGGCGGACAAACAAGGTGATGATGTTGATGCCGATGACGACGATGATGATAGTAGTTGCGTCTGGTGGTAACGGCGATGATGATGATGCCGACGGAGATGATGACGGCAATGACTATGATGATGACGGTGATGATGATGTTGATGCCCAGGGCTGGGAAGAGGAGGGGGTGGTAGGAGGAGGACTGCGCAGGGTGCCCAAAGAGAGCAATAACCTCACTTACGATGTGGGGGGTCTCCATCGACAGCAACAGCAACATCAATTGGAACCGCAACTGCAGCATTAAGAACATCGGCACTGCCATCATCACCATCATCATCATCATCATCGTCATCATCATCGTCATCGTCATCACCATCATCAGCATCATCGTCATCGTCATCAGCTGCATCAGCACCAGCACAGTCCTCGGCATCAGCATCAGCATCATCACCATCATCATCAGCAGCAGCAGCGTCATCAACATCAACATCATCAGCATCAACCCCATCATCATGATAATCAGCAGGGTCATCATCATCACCATCATCATCAATACCATCACCCTCGCAATCACCATCACAATCCTCCTCATCCTAATCCTCATCATCACAGTCATCACCAGCATCAGCAGAATCACCATCAACGTCATCAGCAGCATCATCAGCATCAGCATCGTCATCTTCAACCCCATTACCTTCATGATTCTCAGCACAGTAATCATCATCATCAGCAGCAGCATGATCATCATCATCGTCATCTGCATCAACATCAGCACCGTCACCAGCATCAGCATAGTTACCATCATCATCAGCATCATCAGCATCAGCATCTTCATCATCAACCCCACCATCATGATAACCATCACAGTCATCATCATTCTCATCATCATCGTCATCATTATCATCATCATCATCATCATCAGCATCATCATCATCATCATCACCATCATCATCATCATCATCATCATCATCATCATCATCGGCGTCATCGTCATGCTTTTCCAATCGCCTTTTTTTCATGTCGTCAAGCCCACTACGAATTCATGCGGTCGCGCCTGCTGCTTTTCCCTTCTCCTCCTCCTCCTCCTCCTCCTCGTCCTTCATCCCTTTTTCATGTAGCCCCCAGACGTGTCGGCAAGCCTGGCCGATCGTTTCGCCTCATACTCCCGCACCACCTATGAGCCTGAAGCTTGCGATGTGCAACATCAAAACGAATGGAGGGCCCATCGGTTTCGAAATGGGGCTCTCGCTTTAGCGCCGCGCACACTCGTCTTAAAGCTTGTGTGACAGCTACACGGGTGGAGGGGATCTTTTCAAATGACGCTCTTGCCGCAGCGCCGTTGAGCTCTCGATTCAGCGCCGCATGTTCGTCTCAAGAACTTGCACTGTTTACAGGTATGGATAGGCGATCGATTCAAAATGGGGCTCTCGCAGTTCCTTTTCAAAACGGGGCTCGCCTCAATGGCAGGTTCATCGGGCATTTGTCCTTCAAGGAGCGTTTCTTGTAGTGAAGCGCCTCGCTTGCCGGGGCGAACGGGAAGGGGACTTAGGATGGGAGAGTGTGTTGCAGAATGGTTGATGCATCCTGGGTTTACCGAAATACTCCTCCTCCTCTTCGTCTTCCTACTCCTCATTCTCACCACCATCGTCATCATCGCCAGACCACCGTTGTCACCAGAAGAATCACCACCATCATCATCATAATCAGCATGATGATGATCATCATCATCATCATCATCATCATCATCATCATCATCGTCCTCATCATCATCATCATCATCATCATCATCATCATCATCATCATCATCATCATCATCATCATCATCCACATCCTCATACTCATCATCATCGAGCTCCTCCTCCTCCCCCTCCCACACCCCTCCCTCCCCGCCTGTCCTCCCCCACCGCCCCACTGCCCTGTCCATCCCCCGCCCTATTCTCCTACTCATCCCTCTCTTCTCCCTCCCCCCTGCCCTTATCTACCAACCTACATACATCACCCTCTTCAACTCATTCCACGATTCCCCATTCCCCCCACCCTCAAAACCCCCAACCTCCACCCCCATCCCTCATCATCATGCCTTCATTCCTTTAGTTTTCCGTGTCACCATCAAACCTCCATCTTTCCCCTACTCCCTCGCTACTTTCTCCATTGCTGTCGCTGTTCCTCCTTCCCACGCCCCGCTCATCCTGCTAGTCCTACCCTCCTCCTCCTCCCATTCATCCTCCACCTCCTCCTCCCTCGCATCCGTGCTTGTCACCATCCTCCTCATCATTAGCAACATCATCATCAGCATCATCATCAGCATCATCATCAGCAGCAGCAGAATCTGCATCATCATACTACAGCCTCGGAATTGGTTTCTCCGAGCGCCACCATGCACGCCCATGCCGATTCACGGCGTGTAGTGCTCACACCCATGCCGCCCGCCTTGTTGTAGCGCAGTCGTGCTACATGTGGACCACACCGTGTATTCTCGACACCATGCAAACACCAACTACAACATCTGCGGATTATCATTTAAGTGATGGCACACCGTGACACATCCCACTGTGTTGAGACCGCATGGCGTCCATAACGGATGTTACTCAACCGTACATACCTTCACGGATGCTTCGCTTCGCGAGCCTCTTGAAATCTTCCCCCCAAACCAAGGAACGGGCCAATTGCCACCGTTCCTCTTGTGAGGCATGCCAGCTCGAACCACCGCCGCAAAGTGCGAAGACGGCTCGAGCGAAACAGAAATAGAAACATGCCAAACCAGGGCCTGTCCATGCAAAGTGTGAGGGCATCTCAAATGACAATGGGCCCAAACCATGACAAAACAGAGCAAAACCAGGCAAGCTGAGGACGTCTCAACTGAAACCAGACCCAAACCATGCCAATCCAGAGCTAAACCGGGCAAAACTTGAGGAGGACGTCTGATGCCAAACTGGGTCCAAACCAGGCCAAACCAGGCAAATTGTGAAGATGTTGCGAAGCCGGGCCCAAACCAGGCCAAACCACGGGCCAAACCAGGCAAATGTTCAGAATGTCTCAAACAGGGCGCGCGGCCAAACGACGCCAAACCAAACGCCAAACCATGAAGATTTCGAGGACGTACCAGGCTCCATCCACTCTCCTGAATAGAATTCGAAGTTGACAATTTGACAGAGGATCGATGCGACCCTCCCCTTCCAGCCATACTTCGACGTTTTGCGAAGATGCGCATGTAAATGTGGGCCCTAAGCGGACGCCGTGGCCCCAGGAGCACGCCACGCGCCCTAGGCCGATTAACACGATGTTATCGTGGTCGGCCTAGGCAGGAGGGTGGCCCCTGCGGGGACGGCGTGACAAGCAACGCCCCATGCGAGAGTACGCGTTCACCGATTTAGCAAAGTGGCGAGGGTGGGGAAGCTGAATCGGGATAGGCTTGAGCCAAGATTACACGGACCAGAGGCCAGTGCCAAGGCCAAGCCGCCCTAAGACAATTGCACCGCCCGGCCACCCTGCGATCTCAAAAAACTTGTTCCTCCCACATGTCATGCTCCTGTCAACAAGTTGACCGAAGATCGATGCGACCCTCCCTCCAAGCCATACTTCGACTTTTTTGCGGGGATGCGCAGGTAAACGGCGAATGGGGCCCCAGGCGGACGCCAAGGGCCCCAGGAGCACGCCACGTGTCCCAGGCAGATTAGCACGATGTGATCGTGGTCGGCCCAGGCAGGGGGGGTGCCCCGGAAAGGACGGCGTGAAAAGCAACGCCGCATGACTAATCGCCGTTATCTGAACATCAGCTGGGGTTCAACTATAGCCCGCTGCCGCGCTCGCGCGAGCGTGTCCCTCGCGCAAAGCCAGTAGGCAACGGGCGCAGATACGCGACCTACTGAGCGAGCCAGGCGCCGCACGCAACAGTGCACCCAGCCGCGCGGGGTCCGCGCTGGATGGCCCAGGAGCGACAGTCTGCCCCTGCCGCCACTGCGGTGGAGACAGCCCGTCGCCTCGTCGAGGGCGTAGGCGGGCCGCTGCAGGCCGCCTTCGAGCGAAGCGCACGCGCTCTAGATGCGCAGCAGCTCCGCCTCCTGCTGGCGGCAGTCGCCAGCCCTGGCCTCGATCGCTGCGACGCGGGCCTCGAGCGCGCCGCGGTGCTGCACGGCGCGCCCGTCAGCGACGACCGCCGAGAACGGCTCGGCGAGTGGCGGGGCTTCCGATGATGCCGAACCGCCGCCCCTGGCCCTGAACTCCGCCGCGAGGCACTTCAGCGGCGCCTCGGCGACGCAGCGCCGCATGACATCGCCCCCCAACCGGGCGAGGGGCATGACGAGGGACAGGCTGATGCCCACGGCTGCAAGCCTGCGCGAGCCCGAGATGCGCGCAGCCGCTGCACGAATGCGCATTCGAAGCCTCTCGGCGGCCCGCGGTGCCCAATGGGTCAATGAACGCGCCGTCCGAAGGGGGGAGGCGGCGCGGCCCCGAGGAGGCACCTGCGCGGCACGAGCCAGAGCAGCTGCGGGCAGCAGCGACGCGGAGAAGAGCGCCTCGCACCGCCCGGCCGATTAGCACGGCGCCATCGCGATCGGGCCAGAGCCCTGGAGAAAATCAATCTCACCGCCCGGCCGATCGGCACGATGCCATCGCGATCGGGCAAGGGAGCTGCCCTGCGAGCGCGGCCAAAATCCACGCGGGAGGGGCGCTGCCCCGAGCCCGGGCCGATTCAGAAGATGTTGTCGCGATCTGCCCCCCCTGAGAAAGAAATCGCACCGCCCGGCCGATTGGCGCGACGCCATCGCGATCGGGCCAGGGGGCTGTCCTCCGAGCGCGACCGAAATTCCTAGAGGGAGAAACAGAAATGCAGCCCTGGATTCGACCCCCGTGCAAACCCGGGCCAACGAGCACGATGTCGCCGTGATTAGGTTCACGGAGCCGCGCAGGGTGGGCCAAGCACGATTTTATTGTGATCGGGCCCACGGGCCTTAGTAACCCGCGCGGCCCCCGTGACATAAGGCCGCCGCGCAGCAAAGTGACCTATTTTCCGGAGGGCCTCCAGCAAACCTCCGGCAAAGCTGCGAAAGGGCGCGCATGGGACACGCCCCGCTTGGTTCACGCGCCGCGACCGCGCGGGCCGACATGCATGATGTCATCGCGATCGGACCCGCCAGCTGTTCCAGGCAGAGCGGGCGCGGCCCGGCGTCGCACGGGCGCGCAGGCTGATCAGCACGATGTCATCGCGGTCGGACCCCCGCCCCGCGCGCCACTGCGCGGAACGTATTTTCCTATTTCCGACTCCACGGGCGCGCCGCAGCCCAAGGTCAGACGGGGCTCGAAACCGGCGGGCGGGCTCAAAACCTGCGCGGGGGGGCGCCGAGAGTAGCGCGGCGCAGCCTGGCTCGGCCTGCCCATGCACCGCCACCTGCTCCGCGGCTGGCTGAGTCTCGCAGCCCGATGCCAGCCGCGCGGAAGAAGCTACATTGTCTCGCGCGGCCAGCCGCGCGCGCCTCGCGCCGCGCGGCGCTCGCGGAAGGCGCTGCTGAGCGCCTGGCTCCGCGAGGCGCGATAACGCATCGGGGATCGCGTTCGCAATGCCAGGGCGCGCTCGCAGACGTCGGGCCCGCGCGCGGTCTCGGCCGCGTCCAAGGCTACCTCGCAGGCTGCAAGGTTGGCGCCTTCGCCAACACTTCAGTACGTGATGGGCATCGCGAGGGCGCTGACCGAGTCCGACAGCACCCGCAAGTTGAACCTGAGGCTGGCCCACTGGGGCTACCAATACGGCGAGCGCTTCCCAGGTCTGCTGCCCCGTCGCCAATCGGCAAGCCGAAATTCTCAACGTCTAACTGCGTCAGCGGGTCGGCGATGAACTCGTCGACGCGACCACTGACGAGGAGCATCGCTCCCGGCCCCAACGGGCCGGCGTCGGTGCCCGCGTCGATCTGGAGGCCGACGCCGCGGGAAGCGTCCGAATCAAAGACCCGCTCGATGACGCCGCGCCCGGCTCGGAGGACGCCGCCACCACCTCGACGCAATGGTGGGCCTGCTTTCCCCACATGCACCCTGGCGGGGACCTGCTCGTCGCGCGCTGCGGCGCGCCCCTGGATAACGCGCCCCGGAGGTGCCAGTGGAACGGCGTCAGAACGCACGCCAGGGAGGCGACGCGGGCGCACTTGGCCGCGCATATTCTATCGTTCGACTGCAAGCTGTCGCCCGACGCGGCGAGGACGTCCATCGCAATGGCCTTCTTGATTTTTACCCTGATCTCCACGCGGGCCCGCGGGCCCCACGAGTCGGCCACCTGCGCCGACCGGCGGGGGAAGGTGCTCGGGGCCCACGCGACGCTGCCCCCAAACAGCCCCTTTTCGAAGCTCAGGGGGAAGCCGAGAGACAGCCAGCAGTAGACGACCAGCGCCACGCAGCAGGCTCTCTCACGCGGCGCGCCCGCGAGGGCCACGATAGGGTCGTCCACGCAACAGCTCAGGAGAGCCACATCCAGGACCAAGGCCCCCTGAGTGAGGAAGCAAACCAAAGCCGCAACCATCGCCCATAGCAGGGGCGCCCCGCGCGACCCCTGCGCGGCGCGCAGGATGGCGAACAATCGTCCGCGGAGTTCGGCGGCGAAGAAAAGCCTCTCGATTGGCAGGAGGAGGGTCTGCCAAAGGCCTCCGCGAAGTCCAGGACGAGGATCGAGGCCCTCGCCCCCCCGGCTGCACGGACAGCTCGAACGAGTCGAATGCGACCGTGGAGATCCGCGGGAGGATGGCCCTTTCAGATCCCTGCGAAAATGCTGCCAGGCCGCCCCAGCGGCAGTTGAAGGCGATCCCCCACCTGATCTTGGCGAGGCGCTCCTCTTCGATCACCTCGACGCGGCCGAGGGCGGGGGGGTCCCCAAAAAACGTCAGCCTGGGTCGCGAAACCCACGACGCATCCCTTCTTCTCGTGCTCAGCGACCAGCTCGGCTGCCTCGTCGTCGTCCTCGACGTCCGCGGGGTTCCCGAAGCCCTCCTCGGTGGCGAGGCCCCCCGGGTCTTCGGCGTCGTCGAGGACCGCCGGGAGCACGCTGCGAGGCAGCGAGGCCTCCCAGAAGCCCGTCGGCGCCCCCTCCCGGCACCGCCACGACGGCCGGTCGTCAGGATCGCCAGCAGCACGACGCCATGCGCCCAGCAGACCAGGGCGGACGATGGTGGCGAGGTGCCCGTCAGCCACTGACTCGCCGTCGTCCGCCTTGACGACCTGCGCGAGACGCCGACGCGCCCACTCGACCATCTCGTCGCTGGGCCACTGCGACGCGCCCCCCTGGCCAAGCGCCTCGCGCGCAGCCGAGGCCATGTCGGGATGGCGGTCGGACATCTCGGATAGCGCCTCGCGCACCTCCGCGCCGACGGCGCCCAAGCTCGGCACTTTTCTGACCGAGTCCGCGGCTCGCTGCGGCCCGCCGAGGAGGATGTCCTCCCCGACCATCCTCTGGTCAGCACGATCGGCTCCGCGGAGTTTCGTGGACCCTCTGATCGATGACGCGTTCGGGTAGGCACTCCTGGCGGTCGCAGACGGGGGGGCGCCGCGGCCCTCGCCGAGGCCCGCAGAAGCAGCGACGTCGGCCGGCCGCACGAGAGCGCTGCACCACATCCCGACGCGCGCCATGGGGCCCACCGCTCACCGAGAGGGCCGGGCGGCGCCGACAACGATCGCGGGCAGACGCAACAACCGCGCGTGCAATCCACGCGCTGAGCCTCGTTGGACACGCCATCGCCCCCCCGCCAGCGCGCACGCCCCAGCAGCAAGGGGGCCGGCGGTTGCGCTCGGTCGGCCTGCCAGCGGCAACCGCGCCGAAGAACGCGAACAGCGTCGGCCTCGCCGAAGACGCCCCAAATCGGCATTGGTCGATCCGTTTCCAGACCGCCCCCAGGGAAGACAGGACCTCGGAAAGCTCGTCCAGCTCGACGGCGATGGCGCGCCGCCCAGCGGCACCGTCGCCTCGCGGAAGCACGGCTGACCGCGCTCCACGGCGCAGCGCAAACCTGCCGCCGCACGGAGAGCCAGCAGCGCATTCTCGCGGAGACGTTTCCTGTCCTTCTGGCTGACGCCCCGGAGCCCGCACCGCCCCGGGCCCGACTCGGACCGGAGGGCGAGCTCTGTGACGAACGTCGCGCGGGGAGGTGCCCACGCCGACGCCCGGTAGACGTCGCCCTCGAGCTCCCGCGCGATGCCCTCGCAGATGTTCTGGTCGGAGACGTCGCGGAGATCGGAGTCGGTCGAGCGGCCCGGCACGCGGGCTACCCCGCCGAATTCGTCGACGCGCCGGGCGAGCTCGGCATGCCTGCACGAGCCAGCGAACGACAGCTGCACGCGCACCCCGCCGACGCCCTGCTGCGCGCGCGGAAACTTCGGCGCAGGAGAGCGCACTCGCTGCTCTCGAGGACCCAACTCGGCCGCGGCGGCGCTAGCTCCCGCAGCATTCGCCGCGGCTGCCGCGGGGGGCCCTGCCCCAGCGATGGCGCCGATGCCGCTGACGATCCGGGGATCCTCGCTGCGGCTTCTCTTCCCCATTCGGACCGGCGGTCGAGCGGTTGCGAGCTGGGGGCCCTCGCTGCCGCTCCGCCCCCCCTTTCAAGAAGGGGCGCGGCCCGCCGCCCCTGCCGCTGCGGTGGCGGCCCTTCCTGCCGCCTTTGCCAGTCTCTAGGCGCGGCGACGTCGTGGCTACACGCTGACGCGATGCGAGCTGGCGAGAAGCACTCCCCGCACTCGCGCATGCTCGAGTTGCCCCTGGCGCAGACCATCGCGCCGCGCAACGCATGGGCGCACACGCCCGTCTGGAACAAACGGCACTAGGACTTGATGCCCCGGCTCGCCTTGAGAAGGCCGCTCTCACCAACGTTGCGCTGGCGGGGGCCCTCTGGGCGGCGACCGGCGCCCTGGCCAGCTGGCGGCGGGCCCCCCCCGCGGCTGGGTCGCCGGCCTCCGGCCGCCTGGCTGCGCGATGGGCGCCACGGCTACGCGGGCAACCTGCGCGGCGCCCTGCACCGTAGCACCCGAACCAGGATGACGGGCTCGACCAGCTGCCACTGCCAGAAGCACTCGCACGGGTCCACCGCCATGGCCCAGAGATGCTCCCACATATGAGCTCCCCGGTGATACCGCGGTTGGCCGCGGCCACGGGGCCCGCGTCACTCTGCTCGAGCGCGAGGCGCCGAAGGGCCTGCACGTGCCCGCGGTGCATCCGCATGTCCGCCTGGCACATGATGGACCAGACTGCGGACGAGAGGCGAGAGGCGCCGTCGAAGATGCGCTGCTGGCACCGCTGGATGCGAGCGGGCGCGACGGCCTTGAGCATTAGGAGGCCCGCGCCCAGAAGGCGGCACGCGGCCACCCAATCCTCGAGCGTCGGCGGCCCCAGCAACTCGACGGACTGGAACACGCCATCGGCGCTCAAGATGAGGCAGCTGAACTTGAGCTTTTTGGGGCTCCGCAGCTGGCGCGGCCCGAAGAGCGGGAAGTCCACGCACGGAGGCGCGCCGGACCTCAGCAGGTGCGTCGCACCTGTCAGTTGTTCTGCGTCAGGCTCCTCCTCCTCCGTCGGCATGGCCCCCATGCGCCTCTTGCATTCCACGAAGCAGTCCTGGATCTCTTTGTCGCTCAGCGAGGTTACCTCCCTGGGGAGCGCCTGGTCCACGACCAGGTCGAGCCTGACGGTGTTGCCCCGGGGATCCTGAATCTGCTGGAGTTGCTACTGGAACAGCTGATGTTGCTGGGCGACGCTGATATGGGTGCCGCTCATGACCGCGGCAATGCGCCACGCGTTGCGAAGCCTGCCTGTGTTGGTAGGAGAAGCCGCGTGGGTTGTGGCGGCGTCGAAATTAATTACCCACGAGTCCAGCGACGCATTGAAGTTGGACTCCTAGATGTTCGCCAGGTCGCGCAAGGGGTCGCCTGGCTCGATCCCCAGCAGCTGCACGGCTGACTCCTTCTCGGGGCCGTCCGTGCTCGTAAGACCTAGCCACACGAACAAATCGTCGATGTTGTGGATGGCCGAGCGCTCCTCGTCGGTCGGATCCAACGCCCCGCAGCTGAACCTGACGAAAGCAGGCTCCAAACGTGGCCAACTCTAGCAAGGGGCAGGCTGAATCGGGGTAGGCTCGAGCCAACATGGTACGGACCAGAGGTCAGTGCCAAGGCCAAGCCGCCCTAAGACAACTGTCCCGCCGGACCACCCTGTGATCTCAGTAACATTGCGACTCCCACATGTCATGTTCCTGTAGAAGAACGAACCACCCCAGTGCCCCCATCCCCGCAGGCGGAAGTACAATTGTAGGGGGGAGGTTTGGACCGCGCGCCTGCTGATGCGGCTGGGGTTGGGCGCGGAAGAGCCTTCATTTGTCTTTCGAATGGTGTTGGTGCCTTGGTGTGGCGTTGGGAGAAATACGTCCGAGCCTGTAGCGACATGGGTAATCGGCATATCATATTTCTAACGGCAAATTGCATAATCATCATAGCACTGCGCATGAGCATGATAAAAATAACCATCATCGTCATCACCATCAGCATCACAACCATCATCATCATCATCATCATCATCATCATCAGCAGCATCATCATCATCATCATTATCATCAGCGTCATCACCATCACCATCATCATGATCATAATCATCATCATCATCATCATCATCATCATCATCATCATCATCATCATCATCATCTGCAGCAGAATATTCATCATCATCACCATCATCAATACCATCATCACCATCACCATCACAAGCATCATCGCAAACCATCCGCATCATCGTCATCAGATTCATCATCGTCGTCATCATCAGAATCGTCGTCATCAGCACTGTCATCATCATTATCAGCATCATCAGCATCATCACCGTCGTCATCGTCATCGTCAGTGTCAGCAACAGCAGCTGTACCACTATCACCATTATCATCGTCGTCGTAATCATCGTCATCAGCACCATAATCATAGCGTGGTCCACATCGTCATAATCATCATTATCATCATCAGCAGCATCAGCATAATCATTCTCATCACCATCGCCATCATCAACTACAGCGGCATCACAGCAGATTTCAAGATCTTCGACATCACCACCATCCTAATCCTCAATATCATCGTTATCGTCCGCATCACCGCCATTATCACCACCGTTGTCGCCATCAGAAGCAGCAGCAACATAATCGCGATATTCGCTGCCGCCAGCCTCGTCAGCAGCATCGTCGTCAATCTCAACATCATAACCAACGCCATTACCATCATTAACGTCATCATCGTCATAATCCTCAACACAGCCTCGTCGTTATCAGCATCACCATACTCGCCAACACCACCAGCATGATTGCCATCATCTACATCATCATTACCAGCATCGCCATAAATAAGCGAGAACACCGTCGTCATCATTGCCATCGCCATCGTCATCATCATCATCATCATCATCAGCAGCAGCAGCAGCAGCATCACCGTCGTCGTCATCAGAATTAGCAACATCATCATCATCATAATCATCATCAGCATCATCATCATCAACATCATCATCATAACCATCGTCATCGTCATAATCATCGTCATCGTCATCGTCATCGTCGTTGTCATCGTCATCATCATCGTCACCAGCATCACCAGCATCAGCATCATCATCATCATCAGCAACATAATCGGCATCACTGTGAATGTCATCGCCATCAGCAAAGCTTCATCCTCATGATGAGTCCCCACGGTAATCCCCATGATCATCATCCTCATCATCACCCTCACGATCAGAATCACTACCGTCATCACCATCACCGTCGGGTGGCTCCCGAGAGGAACTGCAAAGTGCACAGGAGGTGCACTTTCGGACGCCTTGAATCTGCGCCAGACCCCTTCCTTGCCACGGGGCACGCGCCAGAGGCGGCGCCGGAGGCGCCGCCCCGGGGGGGGCCCAGCGCCGATCCGAGCACTCCGCGCGGAGCTCCAGAAGTGGATGCAGATGCCGGCGCTTCTTCTTTCGGCGGTGGGCAAACCTCCCTTTAGTAGACCTCCCCTTAGTGACAGCGGCCTGGGACCGAAACCGACGGAGCTGGACCCGCAAAAGTGACGGCCGCGACGCCCTCTCGCGAACCGAAAACGGCCAGTTCCTTAATCGACGTGTCAGGGTAGGAGGTCTGTCCACCCCCGATTCTTCGATTCCTGCCCCGCCCGAAACGTCGTCAGGCATCCGACGTCCGGGCAAGCAGGGGGGGAGCCAGCGCCAGGACCGTGAAGGCGATGGCAGCCTGCGCGCGGCGCTCAGCCCGGGCCCGCCACCGAGTGGGATTCGACGCCGCCGCATTCGAGACGAGCGCCCTCTAGGCTTCCCTCGGCGGCCCTCGGCGGCCCTCGGCGGTCCTCTCGGCAACCCTCTGCGTCCATCGGCGGCGCTCGGCAGAGCTCGGCGTCCCTCGGCGGCCATCAGCGGCCATCGGCGACCGAGCGGGCTGCAGCGTCCACGTCCTACGCCCCCATCGCCCCGCATCCTATCGAGGATGGAGGGCCGAAGATCGGGCATCGAGGGTCGGGGGTCGAGGCTCGAAGTTCTTGGGCCATTCCTGGAAGCTGTCCTCGTCACGGCGGGACGCCGCTGAAAAAACTGGCCAGCACGGACCCCAGGAGAGGTCCGGGGACCAGGTTAGAGCTGAGTTAAAGCGGCCACATCTCCTCGTCTCCCCCATCTCCTCCTCCTCCTGCTCCTGCTCCTCCTCCTCCTCCTCCTCCTCGTCCTCCTCCTCCTCCTCCTCCTCCACCTCCTCCTCCTCCTCCTCCTCCTCCTCCTCCTCCTCCTCCTCCTACTCCTCCTACTCCTCCTCCTGATCCTCCTCCTCCTCCTCCACCATTCCTTTCCTTACAAATAACTCATCCCTGTCGCCCCCGAGGCTGGTCGAAAGGGCGGGCCGGGAATTCCGCATGAGACTTCCTGCAAATCTACGATCCTGAACAGAGTGCGGTCCTTTTTCAAACTTGGCGTCTCGCCTTAGCGCCGCGCACAGTCGTCTCAAAAGTTTGAAATAGCTTCACGGATGGAGGGTGGCTCCATTTCAAAATGTGGCTCTAGCCTCAGCACCGCGCACACTCGTCCTAAAAGCTTGCAAGAATTTCACGCATGGAGGGCGGTTCCTTTTCAAAATGTTGCTCTCGCCTTAGCGCCACACACATTCGTCTTAAAAGTTTGCAGCAGTTTCAAGGACTCTCATGGTGAACGTCCCAGAGATAATGTGTTGGAACGAGGTCGAAATGTCGGGGCGGTACAGTCACGTTGATTCGCTGTGTTGAAGTCCCAGAAAAGGCGTTCTTGCACGACTCGGGATCGTCAAGACGCAATAGTAGCAGTGAATCGCAGCGTTGACGTCCCAGAAAAGAGGTCCTGACACGATGCTAGACTTTGAAACGCTTGCCTTCAACGGGGCATGTCCTTCAGTGAAAATGAATCCGTTTAGGAGTTGATGCAGCGGGAGCATGGAGAGATTGATTACAATGTCTTTGATAATTCTTGGGTTTACACTGGCCCTCCTCCGCCTCCTCCTCCTCCTTCCGTCTTCCCCACCGTCTTCCCCATCCTCCGCCTCGTCCGAATCATCATCATCCGTCAGCATAATCCTCATCATCATCAGCACCATCATAATCATCAACGCAGCAACATCATCCTTATCACAATCATCCTCCTCATCATCTTCATCGTCGTCGTCATCAACCTCATCACGGCCATCATCAACACCATAATCACCATCACCGTCATCTTCATTAACAGCATCGTCATCGC